GGAGTCCCGGCGCCGCAGCAAGGAGCAGATGCTGGAGCTGGTGGTGGTGGAGCAGTTCCTGGCCATCCTGCCCTGGGAGACGCGGAGCTGGGAGTGGGGGCGCGGTGTGTCGACCTGCGCCCGGGCCGAGGGGCTTCAGCTGGGGCAGGCGGAGGGGGAGAAGCTCCAGATGAGTGTTGCCATGTCTGTGTGCTTAAACAGTTTTCCTTCCCAACTGCATCTCCCAGATCCCAGCTTCCCAGTGACATATTTGTCTCGTCCCCAGGTGGCAATGAGTGTGCGTGTTAGGGAGGTGTGCTCAGGCACGGTGCAGCCCATGGGGGCATTGCAGGAGCCTGCTGATTCCTGGCCGGAGCTGCCCACAGCCCGTGATGCCAACAGGCCTCTGGAGGGAGCAGAACAGAGCGAAAGCCCAGGGTCTCAGCACAAGCCACCTTGTGCCCCCGAAGAGAAGCCTGCGCTCTACCACAAGTCAGGTTAGGACTGAAGCATGGGCGTGGGTCCGGGTGCCTGAGTGAGTGTCCGGCATGCAGGGGGAGAGGCTCAAATGCCTGCCCCTGCCCGGGACAGGGCTGCAATATTCATAACCGTGGCCAGGCTGGGACAGAGCTGTGATCTCTGTGGGTGGGCAGCTCCCAGGCTGGGGGTCCCTGATCTTTCTTACTGCACGTGTGGAGTACCCAGCAGACAGAGACTTGGGCCTTGTCCTGCTGCCACGATAACAATCAATGACATAATTCATGTCTGAAGAGTCAGTGTTCACTGGCCCCTTTCTCCTGCCTCCCGTGAGCCCTCTGTGCCAATACGGGGCAGGTGTAGGTGATGGGGAAATGAGACTCCCCAGTGGCCTCTGGCTGGCTCAGTTACAGTTAACTCGGGCCTCTGTCCTGTTGCAGATTCCCTTGAAAGCGGGGAGACCTCGGTGTTGTCAGCAAACAAAAGCTCGTCGGGCTGGTGCCCCAGACGAGGCCCAGGAGCAGGTAAGGAGCGCTGGCTCGACCCTTTCCCACAGCAGGAGGCAGCGTCCCCCAGTGGAGAAATCTCTGCCACAACGTTTTGGTGGGATCAGTGCTCCAACAGATCAGCGGTTCTTGTTCTCCCAGTTCTCCTGGAAACATTTCCAATGCCCTGGAGAAGACTGACCTTGCATTTCACCTCCCCCTGCTCCTAACATGTGTGTGCTGATATAGCCGCAACATGCATTGAGCTTCTTTCCAGGGAGCGATGTCCCTGCAGGCTCTGACATGGGGCTGCGATCACCACCCCATGTTGGGACAGTTACAGGCAGTCCTCAACTTACGATTTTCGAGTTACGAGCATCACTTACAACATTTATAAATTGATGCTGTTTCAACGTTCCAACATGGGTTTCGACTTTATGATGATGGATAGAGCTGCATCCAGCTGGTAAGTCTGATGTGGTGGAAGGGGTGAAGGAAGGGGCGTGGGGGGGGCAGATCAAGGCCCCTGTGGTGAGGGAGGGACTGGGGCTGGGGCAAGTGCTGCCGAGCCAGGACCAGGCGGGCACAGGACTGAACTGCGGCTCATCGGGGGGGCGCAGAGAGGGAGGGGGCAGCGGTTTCTGCCGCTGAGCACTGCTCATATGGCGGCTCATCCAGCAGTTCCTCGAGCTGCTCCCACCGCTTGCCGGGGGGCAGCATGTGCCCTCAGAGCTGTGCAGGTCATGGTGGGCAGCGCCAGGGCTGCACCAGGCTGTGCTCTGTGTGGGCGGTGGGGGCTACGATGAATTTTTGGGTGGCTGCAGCCCCAGCAGAGGCTCTGCTCCACGGCCCACCCCGCCTCAATCCGGGAGCGCATGCCCCCCCCTGAACTCCCACTGCCCGCACCGCC